TTCGTGAATATTTTAAGTTAATTACACTTTCATATCAATGAAATCGTAATTTGGAATTAAATCGTTAATAATCGAGTTGAATTATTAAAAAGCAAGATATTATTATGATTATGATTATTATTGCAATAATTAGTAATAAATTCAGAGTTATTTACAATTAAATCTTTTTTGGTTAAAACTTTTGGTTTACTCGAAAATATTGTAAAACATATTTTAAGGTTATATCTGGTTAATTGATATTTTATTTGTTAAATTTTTTCAAACATTTATCTTATTGCAACCCCAATAAAGTGATATTTTGGTTGGCTTTTAAAAATTTTACTAATCAATTTTCTAAGTTTTGGAAAACAAGAATTTCATTAAAACTTTTCTGCTAAGATTGAAAATTATAGCAATGTATACGTAATACATTTAGGGAAGGCTAATTATTTAGTGAAATATATTTTTTTTTAATTTTATATTTAAATAATCATTGCTATTCACTATTCAGGCTTTATTTGTAATTGCTTAGGCGATTATTTCGGTATATTTATTTCTCTTAATGGAGAAATAAGAATTAAATTTGCATAGAATACAAAAAAACAAAATCGTTTATTAGATTTTTACATTAACAAAAATTTCAATTAAATAGATTATAATGATTTTAATTTTTGCAAGACTAGATTATTTGTAATTTAGTAGATTGAAAATTCGAATACTTACAGTAATATTTATCGATAATTTTTTAGGTTTATAATTTTGGTTTAAAATGAATCATTCAAAAATATAGATGTTGTATATACCTAAGAACTTATAATAAAAAGTTTAATAGGAAAATAGTCTAAGATTGGAGAAAATGACCCGAATTTTGAACAGTGTTATCTATTATTAGCAAGTTTAGAAATAAATAAATAGTTTAATGATGTACAATCGGATCCACTGCATTGTTTTCTTAAGTATAATTTGAAATGATGAACAAAAGTAATAAAGTTAAGAATGGGGTGTATAAATAGGATAGAAAGTGAATAAACTGACTTAGATTAGTAGTAGGCTGGAGTTTAGTGAATTTTTTTTTTCAAGAAGAAAATTATAGTTAAAGATATGGAGATGAATGGGATGAATAAGAACAGAGATATGAATATAGTGAAAGTGGAGAGAGGTAGTGGAAAGAAAGAGTTTAGAAGAGGATGAGGATAGGGGTGGTTGTGGAGAAGATAAGTAGAATAGTAGTAGAGTATTCATAGGAGGAGAAATGGTGATGAGAGTAGCAGAATAGGAAATGAGAGATAATTAGATAAAGAATGGCATTAACTTGAATGTTGAAAAAATAATTTTTGAATTTTTTTTGGATTGTTTTTTTTTGCACTTGAATTTTTTTTGCACTTGGATTTTTTTTGGATTGAGTTTTTTTGCACTTGAATTTTTTTTGCACTTGAATTTTTTTTGCACTTGGATTTTTTTTGGATTGAGTTTTTTTGCACTTGAATT